ATGCATGTAAAGCAGACATATAAAAATATTGAAGATTCAATCAATCGACAATTTGAAAAATATAAAAATTTCAAGGGATTAAGTGAAAAAGACAAAATACAAACAATTCAACCATCAAATATACAATAACAATTACAAATTAGACTTACTGTGTCTGTAAAACAGAGCATAGGGGTTTTCCTCATTGCTATAATGAGAAGTGATGTTGAAATTCAAAATAAAAATAATAAGATTTAAATTGTCTAGCATAAAATAACACACGAAAAATAAAAATGAAATCCTACAGAAAATAATTAAGTTAAACACACGAACAGCAACTCGACGTCGGGCAAATATGACTGTTATTAATCAAAATATGTAGAATGATTTGATATTTACATCGTTGATATGTTCTTTGCTTGGACAATGTTTGAAGAAGATTAGGGCACAGAAAGTCACCAAAGTGCCAGTCAGGAAAACTGCAAAAAAAAAATAGGAAAACGGGATTGAAGAAGAAAAATTAATTACTCCGGATCGTCACCAAAATTAAATAATCTCTTTAATGGACCATGAAAAACTATTCTGGAAAGTTTCATTTAGATCCATTTATAAATGGGACATTAGCACTTTAAGTGATCCTCAAAATCACACCCTATCGTCACCAACACAAAATAATTTCTTGTAACTTGGTTAAACTTTATCGAAAGTTTCATTCAGATCTGTTGATCGTTTTTGAAAGATCTGGTGTAGAGTGTTGCCCTCAGATCTTTAATTGGTCCTCGCATCCCCACCCCACTACTAGATCGACACTAAATATTAGGAGCACATCCTTGATATGTGGTCTATGGTTCGACAAAGTATGTGGTCTATGGTTCGACAAAGTATGAAAAGATCTAAGCATGGAAAGTGACCAAAGTTCCAGGTGGAAAAACTCAGTTCAAAAAGATAGGAAAAACGATATTGAAGGGGGAAAAAATGGCTTTTCCAGCTACTGCTGGGGAAAGCCATTCTCCACCCCCCCCCCTCCCTCCAAAAAAAAAAAACAAAAAACAAAAAACGAATTAAAACAATAGTGTGTGATTCAGTCTGTGCTCATTCGATTTTAGTCTCCAAAAAAAAAAAACAAAAAACAAAAAACGAATTAAAACAATAGTGTGTGATTCAGTCTGTGCTCATTCGATTTTAGTTTTTTACGATAACCGCTGATTGTAGGTGGCAGTCTTAGTGGATCGTTCTTATAAGTGATTTTTTTCACGCCTTGTTGTCGCAGTGTGCCCCGGATAATTTATTGCTTCCAAGATTCTAGATTTCAAATTATAAGGAGCAGATTTAGAGAGGAAGAAAAAACAACAGGCTTTGCACAACTTAAATCGCTCGTTGGCGGCGCTGTCCAGACGGAGCAAAAACTAAAACAAGGCACTTGTGGCAAGTCTTATTGGTCCATTGTTGTTGTCGGGAAAGTGAGGTAAAGTTCTGTTAGTTTTTCACCTGTTGCTGAAGTTTCCTGGCGTTGAGATTCAGTATATCATTTGTTTGTAAACCCAGGTATTAAAAATATATTCAATATCACGTTTTCTTATGTCTTAATATGTCAAAGCACAGTTCTGTTGTTAGCCCTTGGCCTCGGTTGGCCTCAACTCGACGTGCTTGGTGGTAGGTGGTGGCATTAACTTCTCCCCAAAGGTAACGACCAATCGTAGCAAAGAACTTTGTACATCAGATCAGTATTATAATAGTACAGTATTGATTGCATAGAAAGTTTTTATTGATTCATAAATCATTCACATGAACTTGTTCCATAGATTTGAGAATCATTGTTTTCAAAAGGTTATGTTTTGTCTGATTTCATTGAAACTATGATGGATTTACTATTGTTTTCTGAGGCAAAGTTCAAGGTCTAGTCCATTATTATTCACACAAAGCATATCCATTTGTATCTTTAAACTGTGTCAGTCTTAAAAACCATATGAAATATAATTGTACAGGTGCTATATGTGCAATTTGTTTGTGCAGTTTGCTACCTGATTATTGTTGGTACAAACATCCAGTTTCATTTAATTTTTTTATACATAACAATACACTATATAAAATATAGAATTTAAAATATGAAAATGCTGGCCAGAGGGAGCCTATGTAACATTCATTACAATAACTCAAAAAAAGTCAGCATTAACACCGCCTACGCCCCCCGCCCTCCCCCCCCCCTGTCTCTTATACACATCTAGATGTGTATAAGAGACAGCTGTAGATCTATGCTACTGGTTTATCGTTCTTCTCTTAGAGCATTATGCAAAATAAGCTCTATCAGGAAACACTTGGATCAATGTTCAGCAAAACTTATTCGTGCCCCTGTGTAACCTCACGTTTAGACAATTGTAATAGTCGCTTGTTTAGTCTTCTAAAATGTGAAATTAGCAAGCTCCAACGTATAGGCCTACAGAACACGGATGCAAGACTTGTTTCAAAAACCAAATGCCATAGTAATTCCACTTATTCATTACTCATTCACTCGATTAGCTGCCTGTTTATCAATGAATCGTTTTCAAAATTGTAAAAATTATATTACGTCCACATAACAACACACTTCATTTCATCATTGTTTCAACACTCCACCAAGCGAACATTACTCTCTAGCATTAAAGGGGCTTCTTCACACCCCTAAAACATAGTCGTGGAAATTGTGCTTTTTCAGACTTGCTTCTCCAACCAATTGGAATAATAAAACAGGTAGTTTTTATCAATACATTTAAGTCACTTCTTAAAAAGTAAAGAGCAATAGACCAATATTTTACTGATCAATTTTTTTGATTAATTGATGGGCCCTGAAACTCCTGAATAGTGTGATGGTATCTGGAATAGGTGGAGAATGGGGGTGGAAGATACAACTTTTTGCATTACGTGATCCTTGTTAAAACTTGTTACATTAAGTGATCCTTGTTACATTAATTGAACTTTGTTACAACTTTTTACGTTAAGCGATCCTTGTTACAGCTTGTTACGTTAAGTGATCCTTGTTATAACTTGTTACGTTAAGTGATCCTTGCTACAACTTGTTATATTAAACAAAATGTTGTAGTGTGAATTAGGGATAAGATAGACTCAAACCTTTGTGTTTTTTTTTTTGTTTTTTTGTTTGTTTGATATAGTTACTATGGGATGGTGAAGTAGTGTTTGGATGTATGGAAACATAATGGTGAACAAAATGCCTAAACAAGTCACACTATTTGCATCATTATTGATGATGAATATTTTGCAGTTAGTGAGTGGAAACTTAGTAAGAATCAACGATGGTGTATCAGTTTCTATTGGTCGAACTGTAAAATTGGATAAGACAATGCTTGCATTTACAAGGACTAACATGATGGACACCTGTAAAGTTGAAGTAGTTAACAATGAGCCAATCACTCAAAGAGTTGGCCAATTTCAACCACAGGTAAGCAGGAATTTTGCTTTTAACTACTACTAACTTTCTACTACTATGGTTGACAATTCATTATATTTTCTCATAATTATGTTTTTTATCTAAAAAACTATTTTTTTAACAACAGGTGTTTGATTGTGATTACTTTCCTGGTTCATTGCGCTACACTCACTCAGGATCTCCATTCCTTTCTGAGGACCAAGTCAAGTTTCGTGTGTACCATCTTACAACAACATCAACATTTCAAGAAACATTTGTGGTGAATATCACAATAAGAAATGATTCTTATCAAATCTTTCAACCTAAAAGTCATTTAACAGTATCAAATTTTAATGGCTTTTCCAATTTAATTGACTCAAGTGTAATAGCTTTCAATTATTCCAAGTCGGTTGGGGCATTTTGTATGATAAATATTCAAACTATGACAAGTCAATTACCTGCTTTTGGACAATTGGTCAGCCAGCAGTCGGGAAATACAAGAAGAATTCGAACATTGAGCGTTCCATGTGATGATTTATACACATCTAGATGTGTATAAGAGACAGGTTATGTTTTGTCTGATTTCATTGAAACTATGATGGATTTACTATTGTTTTCTGAGGCAAAGTTCAAGGTCTAGTCCATTATTATTCACACAAAGCATATCCATTTGTATCTTTAAACTGTGTCAGTCTTAAAAACCATATGAAATATAATTGTACAGGTGCTATATGTGCAATTTGTTTGTGCAGTTTGCTACCCGATTATTGTTGGTACAAACATCCAGTTTCATTTAATTTTTTTATACATAACAATACACTATATAAAATATAGAATTTAAAATATGAAAATGCTGGCCAGAGGGAGCCTATGTAACATTCATTACAATAA